TTTTTCAGAGTTGGGAACTTGTGGAAATTTTACTGCCTTTTTCAGAGCTCACAAAAGGGGTAGATGGCTGTTCTGCGAAAGGTAGCTGTCAGCAGCTATACAGTATGTATTAGATGAGGTAAACCACTTGTTTTGTCTTACAGGAGATAAGTTACAAGCACAGAGAGCTGCTGGAGCTGGATTCAGCTAACGTGAGCACGAGCTGCCTTGCAAGTCTGCAGCAGCCCGTAGGCATCCTTCTTCTGGAGCAGGCCCTGATGGCGCTGTCCCCTGCAGAGGAGCCCCCGTCTAAGCGGATGCGCGGCAGGACGGAGCTCCCCCCAGATGTCATCAGATGGCTTGAGCTTGCTAAGTAAATTATTGCTTGAGATAAGTTACTCCTGGTCAGGTTTGCCTTGTGAAGAACTGCATCTTTGTAGCTCCTGGAATTTTTTTTCAGTCCTTCCCTTTGTTAGAATTCAATATGCTCTTAACTTCTTGTCAGTTAATTACGGTCTTTCTGTTAGAGCAGTTAGACTTAAGAGATCACAGAATCACAGAATCACTAAGGTTGGAAAAGACCTATAAGATCATCCAGTCCAACCATCCACCCATCACCAATGGTTCTCACTAAACCATATCCCTCAACACAACATCCAAACGTTCCTTGAACACCTCCAGGGAAGGGGACTCCACCACCTCCCTGGGCAGCCCATTCCAGTGCCTGACCACCCTTTCAGAGAAGTAGTATTTCCTAATATCCAGCCTGATCCTAATATCCAGCCTGAATGTGCACCCCAGCAATGCTGCCACGCTGCTAAAAACAAAAACAACAAAACATCCTATCTTGCAATTGCAGGAGTTTCCAGTGTTCAGGTATTGCCCTACAAGATCAAGTTTGTCTACTTACATACGTAATGTTATTGCTGACTGAATGTAGGTTTTTTAAATTTTATTTTCAGTAGTTTATATTTACATTAATTTACCTCTGTTCAACTGATTAAAAGATTTTCCTTCTCCTTATTGATAGGCTTTACCGCTCTCTGGGAGATTATGATGTCCTTCGTGGTATTTTCAGTGGTAAGATTGGGACTAAGAAAATTACACAGCAAGCATTGCTGGCAGAAGCAAGGAGTGATTATGCTGAAGCAGCTAAATGTTATGATGAGGTAAAATGACAACAAGAATGCTTAGTTTCATAAATCTTTCTCATGGCTTAGAACTAAAAGCCAAAACTGAACATTTTGAGAACAAGCATGTTGTTCAAAATGTCCTGTTTTGTTTGATTGATGGTTAAGTCTGTAATGACGTGGGAACAGATGTCACAACGGAGCAGAAAGCATGCTGCTCCTTAACTAGTTGTTACCAAGCTTCATATCTGTCCTTACCTCTTTGCAGCCTTTCCAGTACCTAAAGGGAGACTATAAACAGGAGGGGAATCAACTCTTTGAAAGGCTAGATAGCAGCAGGACAAGAGGAAGTGGTTTTAAGTTGAAGGAGGGAAGATTTAGGTTGGATGTCAGGGGGAAGTTCTTTACAGAGAGAGTGGTGAGGTACTGGAACAGGCTGCCCAGAGAGGTTGTGGATGCCCTGTCCCTGGAGGTGTTCAAGGCCAGATTGGATGGGGCCCTGGGCAGCCTGGTCTAGTTAAATGTGAGGGTTGATGGCCCTGCATGTGGTGAGGGGTTGGAGTTTGATGATCCTTAAGGTCCCTTCCAATCCAAGCCACTCTATGATTCTTGCCTAAGCAGACAAGTAAAACTCAATGGGCACGCTGCCTCTGTGAGAGCAAACTGCCCATGTTCATGGTAGATCTCAGTTACTGTGGGTGCAAATGAAGAAGGAACTCTTATCTTTCTTTTAAGGACTTTTCAGAAATGCAGGTTTACTGAAGATATCTCTCTGAAATAAATTTTTATATAAATATTATTTCAATCCTGACTAGCTTCAATTTTCTGCATTTAATATTGGAAAAATGTTTTTATGAGAGATGATCAACTGCTGTGAAGTTACTTGTGACTTGATCAGAAGCTGACATGAGTTAAAACTCTATGAACTTTCCTCTCCTTTAAATTGATTCCCTAGGCACTCTCCAAAGAAGACTGGGAAGATGGGGACCCAACTGAAGCAGAGAAAGACTTCTGGGAACTTGCATCTCTGGAATGCTATGACCACCTCACAGAGTGGAAGTCTCTGGAGTATTGTGCTACTGTTAATATTGACAGTGGTAAACCTCCAGACCTGAGCAAAACATGGAATGATCCATTTTATCAGGTTTACAAATTATTTTGATACAGCATTACTGTCTCTGCACAGATGTCCTACAGTAATGTGATTGTGGTTGGAATTCAGTTGTGTAATTTGGGTTACTTTAATTATGGAAGTTAGCAGAGATTCTTACACATAAATATTAGAAGCAGTTACTTCTGCTATTTTTAGAGTGTTTCATTTTGAGCTAGTGTCTATGGCTGATCATACAGTGCCAGGTTTAACTACCACTGCTGCTGACACTATCTGTGTTACTTCTTCTCTTGCACATCTTGAGAGTTAGCACATCACTGGTTCTGAGACTCACAATATTTACTGAGTACTTCCTGAGCCTATCAGAAAAGGCTGCCTTTGATCTGTTTGCAAATTGAAATGTATCTTCCGGGAGTTTAAGAAAACAGTTGAAAATATTTTATTTTATCTGCCACAGATAAGAAAAAGTTGATCATCTAATATTCGATGCCTAGAAATAAAGCCCACGTTTTCACCTTCCAGGAGACATATCTGCCCTATATAATACGCAGTAAGTTGAAGCTACTGCTCAATGGGGAAAATGACCAGACTTTGCTGACTTTCATTGATGAGGCAATGAAGACAGAACAGAAGAAAGCTCTGATGGAAATGCATTACAGCCAAGAGCTTAGTCTCCTTTACATCCTGCAAGATGATTTTGACAGAGCCAAATATTACATTGGCAATGGCATGCAGATCTTCATGCAGGTAAAAATCACTGCTGCTTTTGATGTATAGATTTTTCAGTATAAACTTAAGGAACAGTAAAACTTGTTGCTGTTACTGCTGCTAGATTATATGCTTCTATACTTGTTTAAAGCAGACTCGTTGTCAGGTTATAACTCTATTAAATAACTCACAAAAGATTTGATTGTAGAGCATATTCTATAGTAGCATAAGATGAATAGTTTGCAAAGCATTGAATAGACCATGTTGTAAATTCTATATATGAAATCTTTTATTGTCTCCTTTGCCTTTCAGAGCTATTCTAGTATTGATACTTTATTATACCAAAGTCGAATGAGCAAACTGCAGTCTGTACAAGCTTTGACAGAAATACAGGATTTCATCAATTTTATGACTAAAACAAGTAAATATATATTTTTAAGTTTATTTTGTTTCCATTGTATTCAATAGTTCTGATTTTCTGAACTCATGATTTGTTTCCACACTCAGAGGACTGAACTCCTGTTTGAGGGAGCATGGGTCTGGAATTACTTTGTACTGTCTTCTTGACAGTAAGAACTATTATAGTTGTGTAAGATAGGCTTCAAGGTAACTCAGTGTTCCTTTGCAAAGCTTTATTAGCCTAGCTGTTGTAATAAAAGTATCTCTTTAAATGAGGAAGTAATGAACAAAGGTTTTTGTTGGGGTCACTTCCGGTAGCAAAGTGGTTAGCAGGGATAAAAGATAGATGAAATATGTTGTTTATGGCTACTGTGGTTGGCATGAAATACTAATTCATGTATATAAAAATAATTATATATTAAATTTACTTAACAGTTCCATTGTATTCCAGCATACTTCCATATTGAAGGTAGCTAGTGCTGGTGATTTGCAGTGACAGTTGACCTTGATGTCCATGTTGAATCTGCTGTGCGGCAGCAATAAGCAAAAATATCAGCACAAAATAACACATTTAATGCAAATTCAAAAATGCAGCTGCACTTTTGGGGTTTGATTATTACATTTTGTTTGGGTTCAGGGCCTTTTTCATGCTGTTTGGATCTAGATGCTTTTAAAGTATTCCATGTTGATTTCTAGGTAACTTAGCTCCAAGGGCTAAATCCCTGAAGAGACTTCTCAGAACTTGGACAAGCAGATATCCAGATGCTAAAATGGATCCCATGAACATCTGGGATGATATCATTACAAATCGGTAAGATGAGATTTTCAGCGAGCTTTAATTCTGTGTCTGTTGACTTCTGAGAGATGCTTTTTCTAACACCGCTTGTTTACATGGAGGGTGTCACAGATCCAGTGTATTCCTTTTCTTTTAAGTGATCTGCACAGCTTTATAACGGTTTGCTTTTTGTGGGACTAACTTGTGGTGAAAAGCAAAAGGAGTTTCAGAAGCAAATGGAGGATAAACGATGTTTTAATAGGGAAACAAGTGTTACTTTAGGCATTTTTTTTGCATCAGCAACTACAAACACTGTACAAAAACGCTGACAATAAGTCAAGCTGTCCCACTTCAGCAGCCCTCAAACGTACCTGCATGTAGTTGAGTAGGTTAGCTGTATTTAGCTCAGTAAACCACCACCCAAATGGCCCATCCATTATGGATAAAAATGGTTACATACTTAACGGTCAATGTCAAAGCTGGGGAGTCTGCAAGAGAAGCTGAGCCCTGTCACACTGCATACTTCTAATGTTTATAGGAGAGTTAATGACCACTGCAGTGATCAGAGCAGTAATCTGCTGCATAACTGATGCTAGAAAGAACAAAGGTTCTCTAGAGGCTGTTTTGGATTAGATCCAAAGAAATGAATGTTTTTTCAGATTTGAACGTTTTCTGTTCCCTCTGTGGTATTCATCTCCATCCCAATCCAGTCTTCCTGTGCAGATTTAGTTTTTCACTTTTTGTGGGGACAATTTATTTAACAGCTCTTCTGATATCCTCTGGGCACTAATTTACTGTCTCTTGGGCTCAGGAAAGCATGGATATAGAAAGAGCTTGTATTAGTTAAATATTAAGAAGAATACATGGAGTAGTGTTGTGCTTTACAAAGTCTCAAAACATTTATGATTTGCATGGTTGTCAGTGTCTATGTGTAAACAGTTCTATGTGCTGCTAGAAATAATTTGCAACAAATTACTTAAAAAAGATGAGCCTTTATTCAATGCTGAGGCCTGCTCCTGACTCTAGTAGTGATTGGACAAGAGAGAATGGCCTCAAGCTGCTCCAGAGGAGATTCAGGTTGGATATTAGGGGAAATATTTCTTTCTCTGGAAGGGTAGTCGGGCAGTGGCACAGGCTGCCCAGGAGGTGAGGGAGTCACCGTCCCTGGAGGTGATCGAGAAACATGGAGATGTGGTACTAAGAGACATGAGTTAGTGGGGAAACAGTGGTGGTAGGTGGACAGTTGAACTGGATTATCTTGGAGGTCTTTTCCAACCCTTGTGATTCTGTAATTTTTCTCCTGCACTGAGTAACAGTCTACATGATGAGAGATGCTATTGAATTAGATTGGATTAATTGTAGAATAAAAAGGAGTTTGCACTGGTTCATGGCAATTCTGTTTTAAGAAGCTGAGTACGGTCATTGCTATTTTTTCTGCCATGCAGATTTTAAAGTGCCTTCTTTACATGCCTCAGAATTGTATATACTGAATTGCAGCTTTGCATAAAGCACATCCTGGCACACTTCTGTCTGTTTGGAACTGAAGTTATGGCTAGGTGAACTTCGGAGGTGGTTGTAGCTATGCTTAAAAGAACAAACCAACAGAAGATCCCACTTTATTATGAATGTTTTCTTCTACTTAATCTCATTGATTAAAGATCCTGGAATGCTCTCAAGGTCAGTTTGTCCCTGGTTGTTACATTGAGACTCCTTGTGGAGTACATTTATCCTTTACTAAATGTGATTACTATAATTTGCCATTCCTTCTTAGCTTTTTTTCTCTTACTGTCAAAACTCAATGCTTTGGGGTATATATTCCCTTGCCTGGGTGCCAGAGTGATTTGTGCTCTTGTTATGGTGCAGGTGCTTCTTTCTTGACAAGCTGCAAGAGAAATTTCTCTGTGATCAGGCCAATGATAGTATGGAGGTGGATGAAGAAAATGGTGTTGGAGACCAAATGGAAGTAGATCAACAGGATGAAGACATTCACTCAATGATTAGAAGCTGCAAATTTAACATGAAACTGAAGATGATAGACAGTGCCAGAAAACAGGTGACTACTGTCTGCTAGCTTCCAATTTTGTGAGAAAATATGAACTGAAAACCTCCTAAGTCTACTTGTGTGCATTTTTGCTAGGGCAGAGCTTGTCCAGGTCATTTTGAAAGCTCAAGAAATTCAGCTCCTTAGAGAGAGAAAACAACAGATAAATGTTAATTAAAAACTTGATGATAATTTGTCATTACTGGAAATGTGCCTGAAGGCCCCTTTGATCCACAGATGGTTTCTGACGCTGAAGTGCAGATAAAGTATCTTCAATCATTAATGGATAGGATGCTTGTTGCCAAACAATATGCTCTCTTATTTACAAACAATCCCTTCTATGCAAGAACACAAACTAAATTCAGATTGAATCAGTATCATTCACTTCAGTCAAGAATAGTAAAACATTCGGGGATTTATTTTCATCATGGTTTTCATTAATATTGTAATTAGATACTGGGGTTAGCATTTATATAAAAAGCTAATGCTGACTGACTTAGAAATTTTGTTTTGGATCTGACTTTTACAATTACTTTGGTGTTTCAAGCTTGAGATGAAAAATATTGAAGTCCAAGTCTCCCTGTTCTTCAGAGATCCTGCGAAAATCTATAGTCAGTGTCAGAGTTGATTTTAAGCACTGTAAATGGCCAAATATAACATCAGTGCTTTGCAGGCTGTTCACTCCTGAAGGAGAAAAAAAAAAAAAAAGGTATAATTTAGTGCTGCTATATAAATGTTTCATCCAATCACAAGCATGATATGTAAGCAATGCGCTGAATAGTATTATAAACTGAGTTACACTGACCAAATGTGTTTGTGCTGCAGAACAGTTAATATCTATTTCATTATGCAGATAAAATTATTTTATCAGTTTTTCTCAACCTCTCTGCTTTTTTCCTTTTCAAATTTCTCCATTAGCACAAATCTGTTTTTTCAGTATGAGACCAATCAAGCAGCTGCCCTCTCTTCATAGAATCATGGAATCTTTAGAGTTGGAGGGGACCTCTGAGGGCCATCTAATCCAACTGTCTTGCAATGATCTAGCTATGGAGTTCCTGTTCAAGTTGCCCAGGGACTTGTTCAGCCTTGCCTTGAAAGTCTTCAGGAATGGGGGGCATCAACCACATCTTACCATAGCTTTGCTTATTTTAATGAAATCGTCCCATCTCTTAATCTGATTGCAGGAAGATTTTGTTTTCAGACATATTATTTGAAAAATCTGTCTTATTCTGAATACAGAACAGCTTCTCTGTTGCCAAGAAGCTTTTGAAGGACCTGCGCAGAGAGGCCCGAACGAGGGAGGACTGGCTGGTGAGGTGGAACTGTGCCTACTGCCGCTTCGTGCATAGCTGCAGCCAGAGCCAGAGTTGTCCTGAACGAGTGCTTTCTGTGTTAAAAACCATCTCCCTGCTAGGTAAAACTCTTTGCTTTGCTTTGCTTTGCTTTGTTTATTATACAAAGCTGCTTTGTTGTCAAATTGCTGACTTTGTTTTTGAACTCCAACAGAAGATACCAAGTCAGACTACCTTAACGAGAACATGATGGCCTTCCGAAACCAGAATCTTCTGCTGGGTACTACATACCACATCATGGCCAATGCTCTTAGTCAGGATCCAAAATGCTTTGAGCAAATAGAGGAAGAAAAAGCTGGGAAAATATTGGAACTGTTGGGAGAAAGTTCTCAGAGTCCTAAAAAGGTAAAAGGAGGGCAGAGGGGGAATATTTTTGGTATTTCAGTATAGTATTCCTATGAAGGGAAGGAAGGATATGGATAGATATAGAGAATATCAAACCCTGCTATTAGCACTATCTGCAGGAATAGCAGCTGTGGAGGTGAGGGCTGTCTGTGGCTGCTGTTCTTGGCTGGTTTTTGCTCTCTTGGTGTTCTGCATCATTGCAGCCATTTCAATTAGGTGGGAGAACGTTCTTGCATTTCTCCATTCCTGTATTTTGTTTGGAGGAGAAAGACGTACTTGAGTGCACCCATATCCACATGACAATGGTGAGAGAAAGTAGAGAACATGAAACTCAAAAGAATACTTCTATTTCCGCTGGGCATTTCTGAGCTGCTTCTTACTGTCAGACTATCTTATCTCATAAAGAGATCTTTATAATACTGATAACTATACTGTTATGCTTGCTTTATCTGAATAGTTCTAGTGATAAAGGGAAGAGGGTTTTCATTTTGAAACAGAACATATGCCAGACATCTTTGCATCCATTAGAGAAGTGCACATTTGAAGATCACAGTGGTGGACTGCACTGCATCTCTTGTGTTCTGGCACAGATCTTTGGTCTGTCAAATTGTGCTAAGTAAGAATTTAAAGTACCATGGCTGGCTTATTTCTGTTAATTCCTAAAGCCACTATACAGTCTTAGATATGAACCATATCAGTACAAAACAGCAATAATCAACTCTTCATTTGTGGCTTTAATGGCAGTTGAATAAAAGTGGATAAAGACAAGGTTCCTTCGAGTTAGATTCTCATTTCCCACGTTTGTAGAAGCTCGAGCAGAAGGTTAAACTTCATTTGCTAGGTAATTATTAAAAGCATTCTTTGTAAGGAAATCTGAAAGATAAGTGTAAAAGCTTTCTTTTGTGTCAGATGAATCAGATTGGGATATCAGGTATTTCTCCTGAAGATGAGACTAAGGAGCGTAGCCTTATTTCATATTAACATGAAGCAGTACTCTAACTCTGGTAGTGTCCCTCTCTCCACCTGAAGAGCAAGCTGCTTAATCTCAGATATGGCATTTTTCAGTTGTTCTTACTTTTTCTCCGCCCATTTTATATATCATTTAATAGCTGCAGTGCCTGAGGTTGTTAAGCTTGCCAGCAGCATGAGTGTATTTGATTTAAAACATTCATTTGTAAAGAATCTTGTAAAATCCTTCATTACATGAGCTGTGTTAGAAAGGTATGATCAATGTGACATATATATGATATGCATAGTTAGTTATTTTTTTCCTTTATGGTTTAATTTCAGATATTAGCAGGTCTGAACAAGAGAGCTTTTCAGTGTTTCAGCAGTGCTGCAAGGAAGTCTGAAGAGGAAGTGCAGTCCCTCTCCATGGAACACGTTGATGTGAAGGGAGTTATCACTGCATATATGACTTTGGTTGGTTTCTGTGACCAACATCTGCGTAAGGAAGAAGAAGGCTCACTTGGTTAGTTGGGGTTTCCCCTGTGCACGTGAGATGGCTTTATCTCTGGTGTGTGAGCTTTTGTGATACCCAGGAGGAGATCTCCCTGAGCAATGCAGCTTGGGTTTAAATGGAACACTTTGTCCTCCAGTCCTACATTATTGGTAGTCCTATTGTTTGTTCTTTTTTTCCCCGCTACAACTGCTAGCTTTGGTGCTAGTGAATCATTTGTAATCTCCCTGAGATGTATATCATATCCAGCAGATGCTTCCCTTGTTCCTTCTCAGACCACACCAGCAGTTCTGTATTTAAAGTAGGCTGGTTACCAGAGGTGATGCAGCTTTCCCATAAAGTTAATCCTTACCATCCCCAAGTTGGTGGTGTGCACAGTTCAAACAGATGAGAAGGAGAACAAAGTAAAAATACAAAATGCACTGGAAGAAAAAATGCTGAATAGTGGAGAAGAATGTTCCAGATGATCAAAGCCATGACTCAAGTGATGGTGTTTCTGATAACTTTCGTTTAATGTCTCTTGGCAGAAATTAACGCTGCAGATCTGCAGCTATTCCCAGCTATTGTGGTGGAGAAAATGATAAAAGCTTTAAAACTGAACTCCAGAGAAGCCAGGCTGAGGTTTCCTCGACTGCTACAAATAATTGAAAGATATCCAGCAGAGACACTGGGTCTGGTGACACGAGAGGTGAGTTGCTTCCATTCTCCTGGCAGCCAGTGTTGTTGTAAGTGGAATTTAAAATATGGGAGGTGGGGGCTGGATGGATGGAGATGTTATGCTGGTGAATTTTGCTGCAAGTGAACCAGATAAATTTTATCTCACTGTTGTTCCTTGTTCTTCTCTGGCTTGTTGAGTATAAGTAATATGGTCACGAGCTTTTAAAAGCTGAATTTTTGTCATTGTATTGATTCCAAATATTAGTTTGAGACCTCCTGAAAAAAAGCGACTTTTTTTTCCTGAACCATCTGAATGGGCTGATTGGATTAAGAGTTGTGTCTGTAAGCTTTCCCCTATGTGCAGGAAACCACCAACTTCCCCACTTGTTTTCCACTTCTCCCATCTCTCTGTGTTCTGCTTCATTGCAGAGCTTTACTGCAGCTTCATCTCATTTGTATTTCCCACTTCCTCCCTTCCATTTCCTGTTCCTTTATTGCAGCTGGATGCCAGGATGTCATGTGCCTTTCCTTCTGTCATGGCACAGAAAAGCTGAGCTCTCTTTGGCTCATGTCCACTCCTGTCTTGGCTTGCCCGTGTTTTCAAGCCCATTTCATCATACTGGTGCTCAGAGTGCTTCCTCTGTCCTGTCAGAGGGAGAACTTAAGGTGTGAGAGAGACATAAATACGGCATAGTTACCTCAAGAGACCAAAAACATAGCAAACATGGCTGAAGTGGACATGGTGTGGCCACAGTGGAACTCCGGTGGTAAACCAGAACCCGACTCCTGTCCCAGCCAATAAACCTCACCCACAAGAGAAGTTCTCTGGGTGTTTTTGTCCTCACCTCTCTTTCAGTGCAATCAGTCCTGGCAGTCCATTAAACTTAAACTCCATTAGAAAGGTAGGAAGCGATGAGGCAGGAAGAGGAATCAGTCCATCCTGTTGTCATCACAGGTAAAGAGAATGTAGTATTCATTTCAAAAGTGATATGAGTCTTTGCAATGGGACACCTATGTAGTAGTAGTAGTAGTAGCAGTAGTTATAGTAATGAAGCTCTGCTTCAGTGGGAGTTTTGTGAAGGTAGTTGATGTTCTCTGTTTTATTTTTGTGTGTTTGTCTGTCAGGCTGGGACACAGAGCAGTTTTGGTTGTGTCTGCTCTGTTTGGTATCCATAAGGATGACCAGCATTGAAAGCAGTGTCTGTTTTGCAGCTCTCTTCAGTTCCCTGCTGGCAGTTCATCGGTTGGATTAGCCAGATGATGGCACTCCTTGACAAGGATGAGGCAGTGGCTGTGCAGCACACTGTTGAAGAGATCGCAGATACCTACCCCCAGGCAATCATCTACCCATTCATGATCAGCAGTGAGAGTTTCTGCTTCAAAGATACCGCAGCAGGCTGTAAGAACAAGGAGTTTGTAGCAAGGTGAATCTGTGATCAGCAGCTCTTTGGTGTATTTTGGATTCAGGTGTTGATGGGTTTGTTTTAAAGAAACTGTTTTCTTCAGGAAGCATGAGAGAAGCATTAGGGGGCAGTCCCACACACACTGTGCTTTGATTCAAAGGCACAGGGAAAATCAATGCATGAACTCACTCAGCATTAGACACGCTCAGGTAGGCAGCCTGATTACTTACAGCAGTATTGAGTACATGGAGTCCCTGGACTGTGGGAAGTTAGAAGATTGCAGAGAAGGAACTCCTTTCTCCTGGTAGCTCTGTGTTAGTTGAAAGTTTCTTCTTCCTTTCCCTTCAGCCTCAGCAGAGCAGGAAAACTCCTGCTGCAATAGACTTCACAGCAGTGACAGCCAAAACCCATCAGGGATGGAGACGGACACTTTGAGTCTTTCTAACACCAGGAGAGAGAGCAGGGATGTTTGAATAGAATAAAAAGGCTCCCACCAGATTTCAGAGATTGATAGTGAAATGGGTTGAACATTATCTTCTGGGAAACAGCAGCTTTCCATTGGTTTCTTCTCTGCTTGCTCAGTGCACAGTACGAGCCTTCAAGCCCTACCTTACCCGCCTTGCCATGTAATAAAACCTAAATTAATCCCCAGGCAAAAGTCAGCTTGTATCACACAGTGCTGTAGAACTGCTACTATAATTTTAGCTATCCCTTTGCATTTTCTCAAATTTCTAATGCATTTGTTGAAAATCTTAGTTTAAAACTAGAAGGGAAAGGTTTGTGCTTCACAAACTTTATTGCCCTTGAATAACTGTCATGACAGGTCTTGTTAAATGCCAGTTTCTGTTGTAAGTGTGCTAACCACCACCCCACCAAGTGGCAGTTTTTCATAGCAGGGCACTTAATTACCAAGAAATTAGGAGCTGCACAGTAAGAACAGCCAATAGTTAACACTTATACAGCCCAGGAGAATTCTGAGTCGTCCTCATTTTGCCCACTGCTCTCCCCAAATAGCATAACTCAGTTCATGAATGTAGCAGCTGCTGTGTATCATGGCTTATTGGCAGGCTAGGTGATGGTAATTTCTGCTGAATTGTGATGCAGTTCTTTCTTTTAAAGCATTAAGAACAAGTTGGACAGAGGAGGAGTAGTTCAAGATTTTATTCGCTCCCTGGAACAGCTCTCTAATCCTGTAATGCTTTTTAAGGTAAAACGTATTGCTGTTTTCCCCTCTTCCTTCCCCACGCTGTGCTTAGGAAAAAATGTGCAGGGTGGAGATGCTACAGCTGCAGGAAGTGGTTCACCCCATAACAGACTGGCACTGATGCTTGGGTGCTCTGTGAGCTTTTCCTCACGCTGCTCCCCATTCCTTTTGCCAGCTGACTGCTTTGCAGTCATCCTCCTCAGCTTTCTCTTTCTGGAGTCTTTGTGCTGCCCCGCAGTCAGTCTTGCTTCATTGTTCCCAAACTGTTACATTTTAAGAGTTAGTGTTCCCTTCTGCTTTCAGGACTGGGTTGAGGATGTCAGAAATGAACTTGTAAAAACTCAGAGGAATAAAATTAAACTTAAGGAAATGTATGAAGGAATGTACAAGAATTTGGGAGATGTGAAGGCTCCTGGTCTTGGATGGCTGAGGAAACAGTTTGTTCAGGTACGTGTGGTGACTGAATAGCATTGGCACTGTGTGCTTCTGTAGAAGGCACTAGCAAGTCAAAGGAGAGGAACCAGATCACAGCTTCCACATGTGCAGGAGGACTAGATGAAGCGAGAGATGGAGGTTAGGACTTCAGGATTTCATTGTTGGGAGCTATGGAGCTGTTATGGCTCAGCTTCCCCCCATGACCACCCCGCAGGTTCTGTTGTCCTGCTGCCTGCCCCAAGTCCTCAGCCAGGGCTTCTCTGTGAACATGAGTGGAGATCTGGCCTCATGTTTCCCCTGCTACCAGATTTGGTACTGATAAGAAGCTTTGAGGGTAGGTTATTCAGAAAAGTTACAACTATGAGGAATTACAGAAAGGATTTTGCAAAATGAATTGAGATCTAGAATAGTGAAAGTTGGTGTAAAAAAAAAAATAATAATAATAAAAAAAAAAAAGAAGTGATGCATGAAGAGGAAAAAAGCACAAACCCAAGCCTAATTTGCATGTAAATTGTTTGGATCTGAGCTGATTATTGCAACTCAAGAGCAAGCTCTTGATTTGTTATAGTTCGGTGGAAACATCAGCTGTGAAGAGTCAAGAGCCAGCAGGAAAGCTTAATGAGTGTAAGTTGTTAAGAAGACAAGCTATTGAATTATTCATTCACATAGCAGCCTTATCAGACCCACAATTTCATAGAATCATAGAATCCTTAGATTTGGAAAGGATCTTTAAAGGTCATCTAGTCCAACTCCTGCGATGAACAGGATAACTGGCCACTGTCCTGCTTTTGACCCTTACGCTTTTCTCATCTGGAAGAACTCCACTATTAGCATCAGAAGTCCTTGATTAAACTGTCACAGTTAAGAAATCACATCTATGAATGGCTTATTGAAGGAATCTGTGAGTAACTGTATTTTGGGGGCCAGGAGATAAGACCACAGGTCTTGTAGCTTAAGGTGTGCTTTGAAAACGAGGAAATGGGAGGTACTGTCCCAGATCCTACTGAGAGTGAAAGTGTTATGGGTCAGTTCAGTAGTCTCTTGGACTAGGTAGGAGTTGGACTTGATCTTGTGGGCCTTTTCCAGCTCTGGATATTCTGTGACTCTGGAAGTGTAGCAAGCAGCATTATTGATATGCTGACCCAGAATCCAGCTGCAGCTGGAAGAGGTAAGAAGGGATAGGCTTCTGGTTTTGACATAGCAGAAAGGTTTTGTGGTCTAATTCTGTGGAGCTCTGGTATCATTGGGGTTGGGAAATGTCAGTATTTCTGTTGCCAGCAGCTGGTGGAGTCTATGAAACAGGCAACATAAGGATTTGACAGGCTAGAAATTGATGGAAGAAAAGAACTGGAGCAGGAAAAAGATGTTTCAGGAGGACAGATAAAACTGTGTGTCTGGATGGGAAGGTACTGTTGTAGTGTTTCTGGAGAGTTCCAAGCACTGTCCTAACAGGATTCATGTCTGTGAATGAACCTCAGGCTTTTGGGAAGGATTTTGACAGTCATTTTGGAAAAGACGGTTCAAAGCTGTTGGATATGAAGGCCTGTGATTTTAATGAGATCACAACATCTCTTCTCACAAAAATGAACAAAACCCATAAAGAACCTGCAAACCTGAAAGAGTGTTCACCATGGATGAGTGAATTCAGAGCTGAGTTCTTGAGGAATGAGCTGGAGGTCCCTGGTAAGTTCCCTTTCAGTGGTGATATTGGAAATGTCTCATACAAGAAAGCTGCTGCATCTGAGCTCTGCTGCTTATGTTGGCTGTATGGCCCTTCATTCTCACCTTCGCAGAGGTGATCTTAAATAACTGTTACTTAATCTCTTAAATCTGTTCTTCAGTTGTATGCCTGATTCCTTTTTCTTTTTTTTTTTTTAAACTATCAAAAATTACATCTCTAACCTAAAGCATTCTTTTAAATGAGTGATTCCAGGAAACTCTGAGCATTAGATCTAATATATGCTTAATTCAAATTCAGCAAGGATGTGTCCTCTCAAACTATTAAGATCTGAAAATCTAACTGCTAAAGAAGGGAAGACTATTAGTAATTTGAAGATAAAAATGTATAATGAAAATGGATTTTTATGTATTTTTATGTATTTTCTTGAAAGATATAATTTTGCCAATACAACAAAATATTTAGAAGAGTTTTTCTATTATTAAACACATGATAAAAAATACTACTGTGTTAATTTTTCTTTTCCTCATCCCCACCCGCCCACAGGTCAGTATGATGGGAAGGGGAAACCTCTGCCAGAGTACCACGTGAAGATCTCTGGGTTTGATGAACGGGTATGTTTGTGAGCTTGAGTTCAAGTTCTGGTGTTATGCACCTGTGGCCATATTCGGTCTGAAGAATTTGACAATAGAAAGGTGGTTGCTGTGTACACATCTTGGAGCACTTAAATGCTGTTTTGCAGAACTTTCTTTGGTCTTTGAGTAGTAATTGAGCAACTTGATTGTGCCATCTGGGAACGCCAGACAGGCTTAATTTCAGTAGTGATTCTGTCAGACCAAATCTTGTGTCACAAATACTTGTTTTTTCCTGTCTTCCAAGATAATGGTATTGGAATCCTTGAGGAAACCCAAGCGCATAACAATCCGAGGCAGCGATGAGCAGGAGCATCCTTTTCTTGTCAAAGGTGGAGAAGACCTGCGACAAGACCAACGCATTGAGCAGCTGTTTGATGTAATGAACATCGTCCTTTCCCGAGATGCTGCCTGCAGCCAAAGGAATATGCAGTTGAAAACTTACCAGGTCATCCCCATGACCACAAGGTAGGATTTTATCTCGAGGGGCAGAAATTCTTATTGTAACATCTGTTGTTGCAGCGTTGGAAAGTATGGTCTGTGTGTGCCAGATTCTGGTTCAGAGTGTTTTGGGTCTTGGCTTGCTTTTGTATTTATTTTTTTTCCTTTTGAAACTGCTTTGTCTGGAAACTGTATGCCAGAGTATATTTAAATTGGCAGCTTTCTTTGGTCTTTTAGCAGACACTAGAATGCATTGCTTCCAAATAGTGTAGTTCTGACTCTAAGCTACTTGTTCATGTCTCTGATTACTTCTGTTCCAGGCTGGGACTCATCAAATGGCTGGAAAATACCTGTACTTTGAAAGAATTCCTGAGGAACAGCATGACTGAAGAGGAAGACACCAACTATAACAGGTGATGTTTGGCTTTGCTGTCTCTTCTAAAGGGATTCCTGCTAAAGGGTTCATCGTGATACTGACCATCTTGTGGCATCTTGTTTCCTTTATTCAAGGAAAAGAAAAAAAAGTACCTATAAGCAAGGAGGCACTTTGTACTTCCTGACCCAAATTAGTAATTAGCAACTGTTTGTTTAATGAGTACCATTGTACCTGGAATATCCTCCACCCAGCTTGTTTAAACAAGAGGCTTATAATCGTGTGTGACGTCGTTATCATCACCATTTCCTTATCAGCAGATTGATTTTTTACAAGCAAAGCATTTTGATCTCCTGATTTGATCAGGCAGGAAATGGACGTCGGTCAGCAAGGGGGGGAGAGGAGGTGGGGGAGCAGAGACAGACCTGTTCAGAAGCTGTGTTCAGCATTGAGTCCAGGATGGAGGAAATTGGCAGATATGCAAAACACAACTGTGAAAGAACATTGTCTCTGACTGTGTACAAAGGCTGGATGTGAATAAGGGAGCTTTATGTCTCTTGCTTGTAATTAAGGGATGAATATTTGTAAAATGGGTTGATTTTTAGCATGTCAGCCTGGAATTTTCTATATATCCAGTTTCTGTCCTGGAATTTAGAAATGTGGTTTCATTTACTGACTTCTTTCCTTAGTGCATGCTCTCTGTTTGGGCATGTCCAAGAGTTGTCATTGATTATTTTTACTAGTTCTCCTGCTTACAGGGCAGGTTGGAGGAAGTTCCAGTGTGCAGGTTGGACTGCAAAGAGCCTTTGTTTCTATATTTGTTGATTTTTGACTGAGCATTTAGGAGTTACTATAGTTCCCTCATCACTGGTATCTAGTTTGTTTCAGTGAGCAGCAGTGCTAATGTTGATTCCACTTCAATTACTGAAAGAGGAGGAGGACTTTCTTGGAAGCTTCTCATGAGAGGAGGTTTCTAATACTCTAAATGTAGATTATCCGTATCTTTCTAAAAACAGCTCATGATTTATCACACAGTTTTATTATTGTGTATGGACTTTAAATACTTCCCCTACAACTCTTCAGCTGAATCAGTTAGGACACTTCCACTGAGCTGTGGATGAACTCCTAAAGGAGGACTCTGAAATTCTTACAGGCAGTATTTCAGTTGGAGTGAAGGTGAATAACTTCCTGAAGTCTTGAAGTCTTTTATCCAAAGTGATGGGCTACTCAGTCTATAAATAATAAATATTTCTTAAATGAAAAGGATCTCTATGCCTCAGAATATGGCTAGCAGGTTTAGTGGCCATGATGGTGATGGGCTGATGGTTGAACTACGTGAGCTTAGTGGTCTTTTCCAACCTTATTGTTTTGGAAGAAGGAGAACAGATGGATGTTCTACTGGGTTGCTGTTTCTGTAGAACTGACCAGTTCTACAGCAGTTTAAAGGCTAGCATAATAATGTATGCAGGTAAGATGAGAGGAAAAAAAAAGTTGTAGGTAGTGTAACTAATGAAGTCTGCATTAATACTTAAGTCCTCCAAGTTCCCTTTCCTCCCCTTCTATACATGCTGAAAAGATAACAGACTGCCTTCTGCACCCCTTATCTGTTTGGATGGACAAAAACCAGTGTCATGGGGCAGGCTGCATAATGCCTCTCACGTGGATAAGAGATTGTGGTAAAAACATTTTTCCTTCCCTGGAGAGTTTATTTTAGGTCTGTCTTCTCAAGACAGCTTCTGATTTTTAGAGCAAATCAATGTCTTTGAGACATTAATGCCTAATCTTCCATTAAATACAACTGAAATGCATTCAGAACCTGGGGGGAAGGAGATGGATGGATCAACACTTGCACTGACTGCATAAACATCATTTTTGTAGCAAGGATAGAATTAATGTAGGCTATTGCTCCCATGCCCTCTGTGCTTAAAAATCCCATGAGTTGTAGTAGCAGTGCACACTCGATCTGCAGATATTCAGGTACAGAATTAGTAAGACAATACAGAGAAATCAACCTTACCATTTTTTCTTTTTTTCCTTCCTATGTTCACAGTCGAAAAGGACCTCGTGCTGCCTATAGTGACTGGCTGTCCAAAATAGGTGGGAAGGCACAAGGCTTATCTCGATACACTGCTATGTACAAGTAAGTTTTAGGAGAACTGCATGTAAAGTATATAGAGTATGCACACATACACACAATTTTAGGACATCCAGGAAAAAATAATCTACTTTTATAGTATGCTGGCTAGATCTATTTTTTGCTCGTGTGTTAGACTGCTTTGCCTAACATGAGATATTCTGCAGAAGGGCTTTAGTACTGATAAAATGCTAGTAGAGTACAGGAATGCTTGCACAAGTTTGCTCACCTCCTTAGGACAGTGTCTGGAAGCAGATGTTCTTCTTCAGCTGTCTTTTCTGGATATCTTATTCCTGATGATCCTCTCAGGTAGGCTGGCTGAGAGCCAGAGCACCTGCTGAAGTTGGTGGAGAATGCCACTATGATTCACTAATAAGTTTAGAATATGTGATGTGAGCATCCTCTCAAAGGAACTTCTACACCTGCCCAAGTCTCATACTGTGCTGAGGAAGGAGAGTTCCCAGTGGAGCATTTTGATGAGCTCATAACCTTCTTAAACAAGTGATGCTTAAACAGAAGCTTCTTGCTTCTTTGGGGAAAAGTTTGACTCGTTTATCTGAGTGTGTCTACATTAACATTTTCATTCAGATCAGGAATGTGCTTTTGGAGTAAATTCCCATTACCACTGCTTGCTTCATGTACTCAAGGTCAGCTCAGTGATGCAAGCCAGCGTGTCGCTGCTTTCCAATGAAACTCAGCTGGAAGTCTGCCCCAGTGCCTTCAGCTGCCCGCAGGCACTCTGCTTGTAGCAGTGGACCTGAGCTGGCCCAAAGCAGTCACCCTCCCTCCCCCGGATGTGTGGCATGAATGCCCTCAGCACCTCTGTCTCCCCTTCTGTTGCACTATTTTCTGGTGTAAATGCAACCACTGTGCATTGCTGAGAAGTTCCATGTAGCCTTTAGCTACTCTGCATAGATCAGGTTATCGAACCAGAAAGATTGTATTGCTCCATTAAATCTTAACCCATCTACCTAATGTAGGGGAGACTAGACCGAACTACACTTCATAGTGTAGACTGACTACTTCATAGTCAGAAATTTTCATCTCAGGAATAACTGTTTGGAAAAAGGGACGAGGATTTATTTTTAATATCAGATAAAATATTTTGGACAAGCTCTGTGTCTGAGTTGCTATATTGCTTACTGATGGAAATAAGCACACAAATGTAGTCACATACGTACCCTGGCTGTTATTTCAGTGGCTGACATTCTTTGGTCAATTTGCAGAAATGCAAGCCGCACAGAAACAGTTACTGCCTTCAAGAGCAGGGAGAACAGTGTTCCAGAAGATCTGCTGCGGTGAGTGTGCCTTTAATGACTGCTTGTTGGGAAACAGAAGCCTTATCTGCATGCAACAAGTGACTTCTGTTCTCCCCAGGAGAGCCTTTGTGAAGATGAGCACATCTCCTGAAGCTTTCCTGGCTCTGCGGTCCCACTTTGCCAGCTCGCACGCACTGATGTGCATCAGTCACTGGATACTCGGAATTGGAGACAGACACCTGTCCAACTTTATGATTAACAAGGAGACAGGTGGCATGGTGGGAATAGACTTCGGGCACGCGTTTGGCTCAGCCACACAGGTATTTGTTGTGTAACTTGTTTGTTACAGCTTTTGCATATGCAATTACAAATGCGTTCTCTGTACTTCAATTTGAGGTTTCCAATTTGCCATCCTTGTGATACAAAATAACCTTTATTTCTAGCTAATAGAACAAAACCTGTTTCCAGGCTCTGTCAGGGAAACAGGGAGCTATAGAGTTTCACGTGGAGCGGAGAGGGTGTGAAGAAATAAACTGTCAGTCCATACAGTGGTGTTGTTTTACCATGTGCTTTCAGCCACTGCCACTAGGTGCTCACTAGCAGAGCTGTGATGGCACGGTGTGGCTCTGTTCCACTCAGCTGCACGATTTCACTTCAGTGACAGAGGAGATTTCAAGGCTTGAAAAGAAGGAGGGAAAAAAAAAACAAACTTGCAACCCTTCCGTCACAAGGTTTCTTCTTGTTTTCTAATTTGTGTTTTCTTTTGGCTGTCCTTCCCATCGGTTAGTTTCTGCCTGTGCCAGAACTGATGCCTTTCCGCTTGACACGCCAGTTTGTGAATCTGATGATGCCAGTGAAGGAGTGGGGCCTCATTTACAGCGTGATGGTGCATGCCCTGAGAGCTTACCGTGCGGATCCTGATCTCCTCATCAGCACAATGGATGTGTTTGTAAAAGAGCCTTCCCTGGACTGGAAGGTGAGGACCTTTTTTCTTTCAGTTTTCTTCATGTAAAAATTCTTAAACCCTAGTAAGAACAGTACTGATCCATAAGGAGGCATTTCCTGCTGCTCTGACTCAGTGCTTCTTTTGTCTTTCTTGAGCTCATAGAGAAATCGGGCTTCAAGCATCTAAAATTCTGTAGCAGAATTCTATAAGTACAATGGTGATGGACAGAGAAGAATTGTCCATGCCTTTGCTGTCAGCATGCTGATCTTTGTCTGCACAATAACCCTAAAAATGTCGGTATCTTTTGATCATGTCACATTGCTTATAGCAGCAATATAAGTATTTTCAGCTTTTTGGACTGATTCATCTAATCAGTGCAGAACTTATACAACAACACTGTATTTATCTAATAATTACAGGGAAAAGAATCTGAAACAAGTTGTATTCAGGTCCACTTGTAAATTAAAAAGTAAATCATAGGCAGTCCAGATATCATCTCAGTGTTTTGCCCTCTATTGCAGCTGCAGTGAGGAGCTGCTGCTGTGACTTGGTGTGATGTGGCAGCTTAAAGGTCTTTTTATGTATGATAAATAGAGCAAAACTGTTTTCTCTTTAGAACTTTGAACAAAGGCAGCTGAAAAAAGGAGGCACGTGGATTAAGGAGATAAACACTGCTGAAGTAAACTGGTACCCTTTGCAAAAAATCAGCTATGTCAAAAGGAAACTTACGGGTGCCAATCCTGCACGAATCACTTGGTAAGATGCTCTCCTGTTTCAAATTGCTCCACTTAAGAGCTCTGGCACACTCCTGGGTCAGACTTCGCTCCCATCAGACAGAATGGCAGTTGGGAAAGAGGAGAGGCAGACAGGGCAGAATTTCACCCACCCTTCTGTCAGAGCCGTTTGGTTCCACGTAGAGCTCTCTTGACACACTGCCAGCCAGAACGTCTCCCCGAGTGCTCTTGCTCCAGTTCAGGCTTCCTGAGCAGTTTTACTGTTCTGGCAGCACACGTTCCTACTCTGTAAGCTTGCTCAATTTCTCACTTGTCAGATTGCTGTTCTTTATGTTCATCTACACAGCTTTTAGGCTAAGGGTAGTATTTAAAAACCAGTGTGCTTCTGCTGGGTAGTTGCTTGAAGCAAAACCTGATCCAGCTGTAGAGGAGGCATAGAAGCACACTGCTTTCCAAAAATATAAAATATGAATGTGATGGCATTCTCAGGTCATTTCTGTCAGTCTGGTCAGGTCTGGCTCAAACTAGAATGTCTTTAAGGCTCAGTTAAAGTACAATTAATCCCTTCCATCCTCTTTTAAAAAGACATTCTGAGTTATTCCAAAAAAGAAAGAATGTAATGAAAACAAACTTGTTTTAAAACCTTAACACTTCTAAAAAGTACAAGGCTTAGGAGGAGTCTCCTGTCATCAGGGCTGTACTGGAAAAGGCAACAAAATACTCCCTGTAGGCACAGATGAGTGGAACAAGTGGGGAGATAACTGTGCATCCTTTCAGTTAAGAGATTTTTTACCAAATTGAAATATCCATGGTAATTATTCACCAGTGGAGGACACTAAAAATCACCAACCTTTGACTGGCCAAGCTGCCTTACAGCTATTTAGCTCCTCACCTTGAAAAATAAAGTTCCATTAACGGTGATGGTGTCCAAGATTAAAAAATAATAATAATAATAATAATCCACCCTACCTGTTATTTTTTTTGCTCGTTCCTTTTAAGAACTTATTCTTGTGTTCTCGATTTTAGTGATGAGCTGCACCTGGGCTATGAGAAGTCACCTTCTTACAATGACTTTGCAGCTGTTGCTCGTGGCAGCACTGACCATAATATCAGAGCCAAAGAGCCAGAGGATGAACTGTCTGAGGAGACCCAGGTGCGGTGCCTGATAGACCAAGCGACGGATCCCAATGTCCTCGGCAGGGTGTGGGAAGGATGGGAACCTTGGATGTGAGGCTGCGCTTGAAAGTCCAGTCTGACAAGGGGAGGGAACCCTCATACACAGCTGCAGCCAGTCCAACTTTAAGGCCAAGGAGTGAAAAGCCACTTTTATCATCGTTGGTTAACTTGACTAATACAGGAAATGTTCTTGTACTTAAACAGTGATTTGTTTACATGGTTCTGTAACCAAACAGCTGTATTGGCCTCATGTTAAAATCAATGTGGGAAGAAACTGGTGAAGCTGCAGAGCTTTAGGGGCAATCTGGAAGGTGCTCCAGTCATGCAGACCAAAGCAGGAATTCACACCCTCTAGACTTGCAGCCATCCTTTCAGTGAAAGTGTGTGCTTTGTTCGTTTTTGTTTTTCTTCCCAAAGATCTTGCTGGAAACCATTCTGCAGATACATTATTTGTAATTAAAATGGGAAAGTTGTTCCGTCAGTAGAAACTGTAAAGCGTGCAGTACAACTAAACAGAAAATATCTTTTAATGCTAGAGAACATTGTCGTATCTGGATGGCTGTTTCATTTCTGGATGATGAGAAAGCAGTGATAGCACCAGTTTGTTACAGCAGTTTGGTTTTTAACATTTAGGCATTTTGGTCTGTGACCTCTGTACTTTATAGAGGTCTGCAGTCCTCATTTTTTATTAATGCCAAATTATTTCAGAAAGCCGAAGCCAAAAAGAGGCACTGACAGCACAGCAGAGAACTGCAGGCTCCTTGCCATACCTGCAGCACAGCGAAGTAATAGCTGTTGCACTTTGGTATTTGCGTGTTACAAAGCTGAGGAACTGTGCGAGGTTTGGCTCTTCTTGCTGGCAGCTCTCGGTAACCTTGGTGGCAGGTACAGCACAGGCAACAAGGGGGCAAGATAGTTCTCTTAAAACACTGTGGTTATTTGTTACCCAGAGTTCAATGCAGAAGATAACTTCCATTGATGTTTTTAATAATTATCATAAAAGGTGTAATAAAAGTGAGTCTTTGCCCTTTCACTGTTCAGGAGCATTCCTTCCTGCCTCTGTGCCCAGTGCACCGCACACTGGGGAGCAGGGCCTGGCCTGGCTAAGGGAGATGAATTTGGGGAGGCTGCAGGCAGAGCCCTGATGGGTGGGGAAGGGAGCTGGCAGTGGTGCAGTAACTGCTGTTTGTTACCTTGTTTCATATTACAAAAAAGACCTCACTTATTGAAAAAATAAAAATAAGTCTTCAGATGCGCTGCTCACTTCTTAGGTTAGTTTAGGGCACTTAGCTGAAAACATCAGAAATTACCCATAGGTGCAGCTAGAGGTTAGAGGACAGGTTTTTTCCACAAGTGTGCACTGTAGTCTGTTTTTATATACGTGTGTGTGTGTGTTTTCATGGGCAGCTATAAAACAGGTGGCACTGTGACTGACGCTCGGTTCTGAAGTTGTCAGTCTACAAATGTAAGAAAGTTAAAGCCCAATAAAAAGCAACATGAAAAGGCAAGGAGATATTTAGTGATGAAGTGGCTGCTTGTAGGAGGTGTTAAATGGCACTTTTGGCACATACCTCTGATATATACAAGGTACTTTGACCTGTACCATGGAGGACAAAGTTTAGGTTTACAGTTTAACGAGGCTCTTCTCGTGGTGACTTTTGATACCTGCAGCAGCACTGGATGTCGCTGCTTGGCGGGTCTCTGCCGGGGCTGGATGTAAGCAGGAATGTGGTGCAAGTAGCTCTGACACCATGGGCCTTGACAGCCTTTGGGAGATGCCTACAGCACTTACAAAAACCGTTCAAAATAATTATAAAATTGGTTCTGGCCCTAAACGAAATGCTGTAATTTGAAGCCACAGCTACCTCAGTCCTATTAGCAATGTGTTTGTCAGCCTCACGAAGCAGTTGTGGAACAAAGTCTGCATAAAACCGCTGCCTTCTCACAAGCACTTCCCATGCAAAGTGAGTGCAATTACCCTAATGAGCAGTAAATGAGCAGGCTTTCTCTGCAGCTATATACGCCTGAAACTAACCTCCAACATATGTAAATTGCAGTTGTCATCCAGTCCACATTTGACTGCTTTAAATAAAATACAGAAGTTAAAGGGAATTCTGAAGCTAATCCATGAAGGAGCAAGGAAAGCACTGACGTAAGGAAAACCTCAGGCTGCTGGGCACTGTGCTTCACAGGGTGGTTTTGTTCTGGTTCCAGAAAAGAACTAAATGATGCAGGGCTCAAAGGCAAGAGATTGCCACAGGTCTCATGATGCACAGCACAACCTAGCAGCTGTCCACAAGTGCAGCAGGGTATTTCCTTCCTCAGTTAAGCAGCCAGATGTGGGCTGTAGCTGGAAGTGCATTAGTTGTGTCTGAAAAGCTATGCAGCCCATTAGCTTATACTCTCAGTAGGCTTCTGTTAGTGTACAGAGTAGTGCGCCCTTTAAGCTCACTGCTGCCATCCCTGTCAATCTTATAATTTCCCTCTAATTAAACATTGAACAGTCATTTGACTGTTCAATGTAGAGGAAAACCAACTCCATCCTCCAGTTTCATTTCTTAATGACAAAGAAATTTGGGCATGCTGCATGTCATGCTCAGGTATTTCCTATTTCAATCCATCCCATCACCCCGCTCTACAGCTGCCTTTTCCAGCCCACGAACCAGGGTTCCCCTGGAAGCTGCTCTGTCACTGAGCCAGGCGAGGCCTGCAAGGCCCTGCTGCCATCAGCCCCTCTGGCACAGTGCCGTACATCTGCCTGGGCAGGAGAGCTCTGGGAGGATGGAGAGGATTGAAGCAAGGCTGAAGCCTCGCCCCAATTCCTTGCCTTCCCTTTGGGCCATCCCCACATTTAGCTCTGCACTCCCATTCCTCAGGTTCCTGGGAGTCACAGCGGCACTGCAGAGTGAAGTGTGTCTATTCTCTCCAGAAAACTCCCAGAGTTTCCTTGTTTCTTTTTGTCTTCTATGCTCAAGCAAGACCGGCTCTTATAGAAATTCAGATGCTTTTTAATGCTCTGTAAAACTTACCGCAGGCAAGGAGGCTTAGTGCCTCAGGTACGCAGCAGTCTGAGTGATCCAAGTTCCTGTCTCTTTGCCTGTGAAAGTTGAACATGAGTCAGCAACATGCCCCTGCAGCAAGGCAGCTGGTGGTGTCCTGGCTGCATGATGACGGCATGGCCAGCAGGCCGAGGGGTGAGCTGAAGCTGCAGCTGGAGCACAGAGCTCAGGTCTGGATCCTCAGTACAAGAGAGACCTGGCCCTGACACAACACAGGGCCTCCTGTGAGGAGAGGCTGAGAGAACCGGGCCTGTTTAGCCTGAAGGAATCTCCTGGGGATCTCACCAGTGTCAATAAATACCTGAAGGGAGGGAGCAATGAAGCCAGACTCTTTACGGTAGTTCCTAGTGCCAGGATAAGAGGCAATGGACACAAACTGGAACACAGGACGTTCTCTCAGAGCACCAGGAGCACTTCTGTGCTGTGCAGGTGACGGAGCACTGGCACAGGCTGCCCAAAGGCTGTGTGTGGCTCTGTTGCTCAGAGACCTTCAGCAGCTGCCAGGATGTGGGCCTGGGCCCCTGATCTGGTGTTCCTGCTCCTGGGGCAGGAGTTGGGCCCAATGGACCCAGAGGGCACTGCCAGCCTCAGCCATTCTGGGGTGCTGTGAAATTGTTCATGCAACAAAACTGCTGAAGTGGAGTGCAAGTAAGTCCTATGGGGAGCAGTTGAGGGAACTGGGATTGTTCAATCTGGGGAGGAGAAAGCTCGGGGGGAGACCTTGTTGCTCTCTACAATCGCTTACAAGGAGGTTGTAGCAAGGTGCGGATCACTCTTCTCCCAGGTTACTAGCAATAAGACAAAAGGTAATGACCTGAAATTTTGTCAGAAGATGTTCAGGTTGGATATTAGGGGAAAAAAAAAACCTCGGAAAGAGTGGTGAGGCAGTGGCACAGGCTGCCCAGGGAGGTGGTGGAGTCACCATCTCTGAAGTGTTCAACAAACACAGAGATGTGGCACTGAGGGGGTGGCTGGCAGTTGGATCAGATGGTCTTTTAGAAGTCTTTTCCAACCTTAATGACTCTAGAACTCTATGCAAACAGCTTCTGAGGCTTCAGAAGAATGTGGCTGTATTCCTGCCTTGAATCCCCGAATCCTGTTTACTTTGGTAAACAGCATCACTTTTACTTGCTTAGATGCCTCCGAGCTTCACACGTGAGGAGGAAGCGCTGAGAACCGCCACCTGAGCCGGGCTCCAGCAGTCACCTGCTGGAACGCCGGGACGAAGGCAGCCAGGGCAAGGCTGCTTCTTTACGAAGAATACGAAGGCAGCAGCTCGTGCCCCTTTCCCACCTCAGAGCCGCGCCGGCTGCCCGCACAGCGGGGCTCTGCGTCCGAGCGCTCGCCTCGCGCCTCGGGAGGGCGCTGGGGTGCTGGGAGCGGGGCCGAGCGGAGCCGCCGCGGCCCCGGTGGGACGGGGCGACGCGAGGAGGGGGCAGGAGCCGGGGACCCGGCATCTCCGCCTCCCTCCGTCCCCCCGGGGCCGCCAGGTGGCATCGCTCGGCGGCGCCCGAGGGAAGGCGGCGTGCAGGTGCCAAGGGAGGAGCCGCGCGGACAGGGGCCGGCAGCACCTCACCCTTTCCCACCCCTCCGCGCACACACGCACACCCGAGGGGCAGGGACGAGCCCGGCCGCCTCCCCCTCCTCCTCCTCCTCCTCCTCCTTCACGGCCTCGCACCCCACCCGCTCCCGCCTCCGGGTCCCCGGGGGTGCCGGGAACACCCCGCGCCCGTCACTGGGACGGGAGGCGGGGCCGCCGCCGTATAAGAAGGCACCGAGCGGCCGCCTGCACTGCCAGGTCCCGAGACGCGCCCGCGGGGAGCAGCGCCCGGCGCAGCGCAGCACAGCGCAGCGCAGAGCAGCACGGCAGTCCGGAGCCGCTCCGCAGCCCGGTAGCGCTCCGCAGCCCGGAGCCGCAGGCAGCAGCCCGGCCCCGCTCCCCTCCGCCCGTCGGACGCTGTGGAGCCGCGAGCGGCGCGCAGCAGCGGGTGGTGCCCGCGGCCCCGAGCCCCCATGAGCGCCGCCGCCCTCTACAGCCTGGACTCGCCGGCATGCTATAGGAGCTGGTGCCCCGAGCCCGCCAACTTCTACGACGCCAAGGTGGGCAGCGGCGGGCCGGGCCCCGCCTGCAAGCCGGGCGGCCGCGCCATGAGCGCCGAGGAGGCGGCGGGCGGCGGCGGCGGCGCGGACCTGGCCGAGCTGAGCGCGGCCGCGCCGGCCATGTACGAGGACGAGAGCGCCATCGACTTCAGCTCCTACATCGACTCCATGTCGGCCGTGCCCAACCTGGAGCTGTGCAACGACGAGCTGTTCGCCGACCTCTTCAACAGCAACCACAAGCCCGAGCGGGGCGGGGACTACGAGTACCTGCCGCCCGCCGCCAGGGAGCCGGGCCCCGCCGGCAGCGCCCCGCCGGGCGCCGGGCCCCGCGCCGCCCCCGCCTCCTCCTCCTCCTCCCCGCCGCCCTCCTCCGCCTCCTCCGCCGCCTCCTCGCGCGGCGCCCTCAAGCAGGAGCCCGAGTGGAGCGACGCCGAGCTCTCGTCCTCGCTGCTGCCCTCGCAGATCGCCACCTGCGCGCAGACCATCATGAACCTGGGCGGGCAGCCCACGCCGCCCACCTCCCCCGAGCCGGCGGGCGGCTGCTCCCCGCCGGGCTGCCCCGCGCGCTCCCCCGGCCCCGCCGCCGCCGCCGCCGTCGCCTCCGCCGCCCGCCCGGCCCCGCCGCCCGGCGCCCGCGAGCGCGGCGCCAAGAAGTGCGTGGACAGGTTCAGCCCCGAGTACCGGCAGCGCCGCGAGCGCAACAACATCGCCGTGCGCAAGAGCCGCGACAAGGCCAAGCGGCGCAACCAGGAGATGCAGCAGAAGCTGCTGGAGCTCTCGGCCGAGAACGAGAAGCTGCACAAGAAGATCGAGCAGCTCACCCGGGACTTGAGCGGCCTGCGGCACTTCTTCAAGCAGCTGCCCGCCGCCTCCTTCCTGCAGCCCGGCTCGGCGGGCTCCGACTGCCGGTAGCGGCGCGGCGGGGCCGGCCCGCGGGGCGGGCGTCTCTTACCTCAGGGCCGCGCGGAGCGGAGCGGAGCGGAGGTGCCGGGCCGGGCCCACCCGGCGGTGCGCGGCGCTCCGGGCGCGGGGCCGCGGCGTTCGCCGCGAAGAAGCGAAAGGAACCGAAGCTACGCGTCTTTTCGTTCGCTCCCTTAAGTTATTTTTGTAACGGTAGTCCCTGTCTTTTCTACGTGTTACTCGAAGCGATGCAGCTATGGTACATCTGTTAACGATCCGAACACCCGTGTACGCTAGGCGGTAGGACGGCGAGGACCGAGCATGACCTTTTATATCGATTTTTACAGCATTTCTTAAGAATAAAACCGAACGAGTATTTTAAAGACGCTCCGCTCTCGTCTGTGCCGTACGGCTGCGGGCGGGCGCGGCGTTCCGGGTGAGGGCGCGGGGCGGGGCCGGCGGGGCCGCGGGCCGGAGCTGAGCCGGCGGCAGGGCTGCGCTGCGCTGCGCTGCGGGGGGGGGCCGCCCTCCGGCCCGGGCCAGGTGAGGGAACGGGCGCGGTGCCGCTGTGCCGGGTGCGCACGGAGCCGCTCCCCGCCCGCCGCACTGAGGGACTTCTGCCCTCCGCTCTCACGGCTAGTTTACGAAACCCACCCTCAGCCCGAGCTCTTACGCCGACCCCCGTATCGGTTCCCACGGGCGAGCTAGAGGGCAGGGCTCCGATGTCAGCCTGCCGCAGGAACGCGCGGCACCCCCCGAACGCACGGACTCGGAACGCGGGACACCTCGACACAAGCGCTGGTCAAGTCTTAGTGCCATTTATTACCCGGCGGTAACGACACCGCCGCTCAGAACCAGCCGCTTCCGCGGGTCCCGTCGGTAGAGCTGCCCCGCGGCACTCCTTGCAGAAGCGGCCGTAACGTGTTTGCCGCTGACATAACAAATACAGCGTAATACAAAACGTCCCAACCGTTCGGAACTGCAGAACAAGGCGTTCGACGCGCCGCAACAACAAACGGCTCAGAACGAGAGCCGGGGCGGCCGAGCAGAGCTCCGTACACCCCCCCGTTTGACGGCCCCATTCTCGATCCCCCCCCCCGCATTACCGCGCTCCCGCTCAGCCGCTCGCCCCGCCGGGTCCCGCGGGCAGCAGCGCCACCTCCTCCAGCCGCGCGCAGCCGGGCCGCCCGCCGGCGCCGAGCAGGAGGCAGGGCAGCGGGCCCAGCTCCTTGCCCAGCACGCTGCTCGCCTCGTAGCTCTGCGGGGGAGAGAAGCGCGGAGAGTGAGACCGTCCCGGATGCGCGAATCTCAGACACAGGGCGTAAGGGGAAGCGCTCAGAACGGATGGAAGGAACGAGCGCTTTGGGTTTCTGCTAATTAATTACACCTCATTGTCGTGTAAAGTGCTGCCTCCCTGCCGGGCTTTTAAAAATGAATCGTTTAAAGTAATGGGGGAGGAGGCGGGAAGTTTGACCTATTTTGCTGAAGCCACCTCTTTGCTAAACCCACCGGTGCTTCCTTTACGCAGCCTTTCTGCACCGGCGGGACCTCACACGCTGCGTATCGATGACCTCAGCCTCAGACCAGCCCCTGCCGTACGCGATAACCACATCCAGCACCCGTTCGAGGTACCGTTCGGCCCGGACTGTTGGGTCCCGCAGCCCGACTCGCCGTGCGGCGGCACGGGTTGCCGTGCCCGTCCCACTCGGGGCTGCCATAGGGCAGAAGTGGCTGAGCCCAACCCCGCTGCCCAGGGAAGGGACTGCAAAACATCACTCCCGTGTACTTCAGCAGCGCTGGCAGCAAAAATAATAATTAAAAAAAAAATACAAACAGCCACTCGAAGTGGTGCTTCTTGTGGTTAATGTACAGAGAAGTTCCGTTTTTTAAAATGCAGCCAGTTCTGAGATGGAAATGCTAACGGGAAAAAAAAAGAAAAATGCATCCCTGTATTTCAGATAGATAGGGAAAAAAAAACAAACAACCCACAAAAAATCAAAGCTGTTTTGCAAGGCCAGACTGGATGTGGCTCTGGGCAGCCTGGTCTGGTGGTTGGTGACCCTGCACATAGCAGGGGGGTTGAAACTACATGATCATTGTGGTCCTTTTCAACCCAGGCCCTTCTATGATTCTAAGTACCAGCATTATAACAGCTGAAACATGAAGGTTGTTTGAATCTAATATCTAGAAAGAGTTATGTTCTGTCAGCCTGTAATAAAACCAGACACATCCTGAACAATTTTGAAGGACTTCGCAGCTATTTAAAGATCTAACGTCGTTTGGAAATCTATTCTCAATGAAACATACACCCTGTAGTATAAGAAAAGTAATTTACAATTCCAGAGGATCCTTATACTTAAAGGATTGCCCATGAATCACATTAAAACCATGGGGCACATAACTGCAAATTACCAGAACGCTGTATAATGTGGGGAAGCAAAGTGAACCCCACAGGTACCACCTAAGTGCACTTAGTGAGGATGATTAACCAAAAAGACAAGCTGACCCCTGTCCCCTTCCACGTGCAATGGGAAGAGGGGTCTCCAGCTCCTGATGGGACTTAATCACTTTCTGAAAGTGCCGCTCCTTCTCTACTGATCAGCTGGCAGCCAATGGCAGCCACACACCTGCCCTCAGTGCCTCACTTACCTGCGATAAATCTGGGTCACTGTGCCAAATGTCAGGGTTCTTCTGATAGCCCAGAATAAGGAATAACTACTTCATGGTTACATAAACTGCACTTTAGCCCATGCATCCCAGCGGCTTATGTGTATTTCATTTATATAGATCCCAATTACAAAGGTATTACTTTGCATGCATTTTGCAATTCTTTGTAGCATTACTGCCCCTCAGTAATATTGTGTTTGTGCTACTGGTTGTTTTTATAGGGTTCAGAAGCCAGGAAAGGTAGGATGCTGGGACTGTAGTTTCACTGTCCGTGGACTCTAAAGCCTGGCACTGCCCACTGTGGCTCTGAATGTCTGGACACTGCTATTGCAAGTAGATGTGCATCCACATCTAAGCTAAAGCTGTCTACAGCACCCCTGAGATGCAATAGCAGGGCATCAGCAGGTGCAAGGTGCAATTGCCAAAGGGGAGGTTTGTGCTAGGAGCACACTAACACACTTCAAACCACTCGGCTCCAGGCTCAAAGAAGAGAAAAATTATTTCTAATGAAATCTCCTACTGCTTTCAGTGTGGTTCTAAAAAGAGCTGCCCACAAAGCTGATGGGACCTCTATCCTTGGATGTCTTAAGACCCTGCCAGCCGAAGTCATGGCTGACCTGACCATGTGTTGGCAATAGCCCAGTGTGAGGGGCAAGTCGGACACCAACCACAGAATCATAAAATGGCCTGGGTTGAAAAGGACCATAAAGATCACCTAGTTTCAACCCCCTGCCATGGGGAGGGTCGCCAACCTCTACACCAGGATGCCCAGAGCCACATCCAGCCAACCTCCAGCATCCCTTCCATTTCTATGATTCAAATATCTTCCCTTTTGACTCAGCATCTCCAGGACTCTGCCACTCTATGTAGTTTAACTCTCATCGACAACCACTATACCTACCCCATCCACATTGGCAGCAGACATCAGGAGAGAAGAGATTGTTCTTTGTAGCAGCTGGAAAGAGGAAATGAACATGTTTTGATCATGACAAAAACTACACGTATTGGAAAACATTCTGTTTACAGAAAAAACAGTCTAATTAAACAAAGACTAATGATTCCATTATAGCATAGTTTTATTTCTCGGGCCAAAAAAGAAGGGGAGAGGTGACACAAAAGATGCTTAGAATAGGAGTGTGAAAATACAAGTTCCTTGCAGGCTGTGGAGAGCTTCCCAAGAGCCCAAACCAAGAAAATCCTTCTGCTAACTGTTTTGGATACCTCAGGCTGAGCTCAATGACTGTGCTACTTTATCAAGATCTGGGAACTAGATTCTCAGTGCAATGACACACAAGTCCAGCATTAGATTAAATTATGGGATACTCTTA